GTGCGGGAGGGGGGCCGAAGGCCCACTTTGCATCCCCCCCCGTGTGTGTGTGTGTGTGTGCGCGCGCGCGTGCTTCCTGTCCGTGCATGTACTTTGGTATATTTCAATTTTTGTTTGTTAATAACTTTTTAATAAGCAACGAGCGACGATTAAATTAGAAGAAAAAGTTACTCAGAATTATGTTCTTGACAACATATATCAAGGTCATTGAAATCGGTGAAGTCGCCCTTAATCTTAAGTTTTACCGAACAATTGATAAGAAATTACAGGAAACACAATTTGGATTCAGAGCGGGAAGAGGAACAATGGATACGATGTATGTATTGAAATATATGATAAATAAAGAACTAAGGAAGAAAGGAGGAAAGATATTTATGTTTTTTGCGGATTTAAAGGCGGCATTCGATAAAATGGATAGAAAGAAATTAAATAAAAGGATGGAGAAAACGGGAGTAGAGGATCACCTAAGAAGAAGAATCATGGAAACATATAGGGAGACGATAAATATAATGAAAGTAGGAGACAGGAAGACAAAAGCTTTTTGGACAGAAAAGGGGATGCGACAAGGGTGTCCAATGAGCCCTTTACTGTTCAATATATATGTGGCGGATCTGGAGGATGAAATGAGGAAGGAACATACAGGAGGAGTAACAATAGGAAAAGAAAAATTTTGGACGATGACGTATGCAGACGACATGGCATTGTTGGCGAAGAGTGAGGAAGAATTAAAAGAAATGCTGAAACGATTTAAGAAATATTTAGAAAAAAGGGAGCTGGTTTTAAGCCCAGAGAAGACAAAGATAATGGTGTTTGAAAATGGAAGAGAAAGGAAGAAGAAAAGAGAGTGGAAATGGGGAGAGGAAAGCATAGAGGAGGTCAAGAAAATAAAGTATTTAGGATACATAATGCAAAAGAACGGGAGAGCGGAAAAACAGGTGATGGAAAGATTCAAGAGAGTGATGATTGCTATGAAGAAGACTTGGAGTATAGGAGAGAGGCTTTTTAAAAACGACTATAGAAGAAGAGCAAAGATGTTTGACGCTTTAGTAGGCAGTGTGGCGTTATACGGAGCAGAAATATGGGAGTGGAAGAACGAATCTAGGCTGGATAGGAACAAGAGAAAGTACGTCAAATGAATATTAGGGTTCGATAGGAGAACGCCAAATTACATTTTAGTAGAAGAGACGAAAATGATAGAACTAAGATTAGAAGCAATGAGAAGAGTTATTAAATATGAAGAAAAGGCAAGAAATTCGGAAAAGAAAATAGTTATCTTTTTCTTAATTGTACGGCCTACGACCTCGACACTGAATACGAAACATAAATAATACCGGCAATACCGTCAATATCGGCACCAAGGAAAGAAAAGGAAGGAGTTAGATGGACGGAGTATAAAGGTTATAAAAAGCACAAAGATTTAAATGACTAAAAGATATAGATTAACAATTTACAATTTACAGTTTCAAACTTAATTCCAATTTAACTTCAAGGCTTTTAAAATTTTAAAGTTTTAAGGAGTTAAAGTTTTAA